TTATCTCTGGAATGATGTAAAAACGAGCGTTCTTGCTCATTTTGCTTCCGAGAAACATGCAAAACGGGACGAAAAACATGAAATTTTGCAATAATTCACCCTTGCAGTATTGCACTACAGCTATTGTATAACCGATTATCTCATGATACAATGAAATCATTGTATCATGCAATTAGCTACTGCACATGGATAAATTGTGTAAGGCCGATCCGGAGAGGCAAGTTATGAGCTCCAACCAGAGACAAGTATATTTATATATTTGCAATTATATGTTTGTGTAATGTCATAAACTAAATAAATATATAAATATCCAATTTTTGAAGATGAACTAAAATACAATAAGTGGATTTTCTGTAATTCGCTGCCAAGAAAGTATCAAAAAACATCTGATCTGCGGGTGAGCGTACAGCCTTACAATAGAGCTGTTTTCTGTGGCTGTTTTAAATCAGCTATGATTAAACGTGTATATTCATAAACGACTATAAATATGACTATCAGTGCCGTAGCAAGCTTAACTAGCGCCCGGGGCACAATACCTTTTTAGCGCCCCTCCCACCCCCAATCGAATTAATTCGACCCAGCAATTTTTTGTTTTGCTTGCACCCCCTTCGCTACGCCTCTGATATCAACTATTAATAGCAGTTGTGCCATCTAGGGATCAGCTTACCTAATCAGTTTTCCATCTATTACACACATTACATAATGTATTTTTTTTGCTGAAGGCGTAAATTTAATTACGTGTGGTAGGATTTGTCCCTATCCGGTCGTGATCGTTTAGTGGCACATCCTGTATACATAGAGCATCCTTACGTGCAATATAAACAACATACGTTCAGATCTATCTATGAAAGGGAATAAAAGTACGTTGGGAAAATCGCACGTCATAGCCACATGATTCATATGTTACAACGTATAATAGTTGTTTGTTTGTTTTAAAATAAATGAAGTACATATGTGCGAAACATTGAAATGAACTATTTATTGCGCAAATCGAACGAGCCATTTCAAAAGTATAAAAAGATTCTTAAGCCTTAATTATGAATATTTTCAAGAAATATTGATTTGCTCTGAAAGGTCTTTTCTCATTTTCATGATTCTGCTCCAGGAAGAAACAATAATAAGGCGCATAGCCTGAACGGAAGGGCAAGGTCAAAAGCGATTTAACCATTATTGATTATTTAAGGGTGGGGAAGCCGGTGATAGCAGATTGCAGGTAGTTTTGCTGAACAATACAAGATTTGTCAAACCAAATGGTTTGAGATAAAACCAGTAGGAAATGGTCAAAAATTAAACGTATGAGAGGGTTTTCAAAGTTCAGAAACAATAAGACACAACTAGGCAATACATATGCGGGTGTATGCAACCATGAGTGTAGCCAACCCAACCTTTTCTTAAATACCAAAGTCCAGATGTTAGATTTAAATGTGCCTGGCCTCCTAAGCAGAAAAGAAACTTTTTCTTACTTCTTCCAGTTGAAAGGAAATAAAACACGGAGGGTGGTTCTTGCTGCGCTTTCTAGCAAGGACATGTGCGTTTCAAATTCAGCGCGCTTTCAGCTTGAACTGAATTTGGCTCCCTCTGTCTCATATCTCGTGTTCAAGAGTCGTTGCCGGTTAGTTCTGTCAGTGCTCTCCTCTCGTCGATTAAGTCAGGGAAATTTTAGTGCAAGAAGTCAAAAGTAGCAAGTAAGTATTATTTATACTAATATTTAAACAATCTGCTTTAATTTGGTTGAATGTCTGCATCCCTTATGGCTTTCTGAGGGTACATGCTAACATGCTTGCGGAAATCTACGCCGCCGCCATATTTGCGTATTGTACATGACTGTTAGTAAACTTCAATCGATCCGACGGTTTTCTTCGTAGTTGAAGTCAAAAACGTCTAGTCCTTGTCGTGCATGCGAGTGTGAGTGTACGATCTTCATCGGTTGCAAGAAATCTGTATTATATTCCTAAAGAAAGTTGTAAGTTGTGCTTCTTCGTAGTTTTTAGTGTGGGAAATTCATTTTGAGTGAAAATTATCCGGATATTTCAACTAGAAATGCCTGCTTTCCTTGCGTTCAGTCAGTGATGTTCAAAATGGATCCGGTCGACCTTCAAAATGTATTTTAGTTGTACTTATCATGAGCTACTACTCATTTTACGGCAGAAGCATGAATCAGGGTTCTTTTTTGAGAGTATTTTATTATCGTTCAAAGAAAATTGCGTATGAGGATGACGTCAATTCAGGAAATTCTTCATGGATGGGTCATACAGGCCCGGCCGGAACGAGCATGCGCGGGCTGGCCCGGCATGTCTCGTCAAGGTGTGGTCGACGCCATGTTGCTTTTGCGCATTTTACCGGTAACGCCGCTAGTGTCGCCACTCTCACAGTAGTCGCAGTCTCTATTTTTAGTTCAAGCGTCGCCATTGCCTTCACTCTATTGCACACCAATTCAAGTTCGATTTTCTTGCAGATTAGAGTTAAACCAAAATGTCTGCTCCTGACAAAGATGAATTAGTCCAAAGGGCCAAATTGGCCGAACAGGCCGAAAGGTACGACGACATGGCGTCAGCGATGAAGTCAGTCACGGAAACGGGCGTCGAACTAAGTAACGAGGAGCGAAACCTGCTCTCTGTAGCGTACAAAAATGTTGTGGGCGCCCGGCGATCCTCATGGAGGGTTATTTCTTCAATTGAACAAAAGACTGAAGGCTCAGAACGGAAACAGCAGATGGCTAAAGAATACAGAGAAAAGGTGGAAAAGGAACTGCGAGAAATCTGCGACGATGTTCTTGTAAGTAGCAAGTAGCATATTAATCACTCATTTTTATACGCCAGTTATTGTCCCCCAATCATTGATTCACGCCTCTGCTAATATTGTTCTAGCTGCTCTTTATCTTAACCTGTTCGAATAAAGTATTAATCGATATGACTACCTGCAAAAATCAATTATCAGGTCCTTGACATCTTCCAAAATCTGTTTTTTATTAATTAAAAATTCTCCAACCAAATACCTGAAAACTGGCACGTTTGTAGTACAGTTTTATCTAATATTGATCCCTGGATTAATTGATTTTATACGTGTATATTTACATAATATCGAGAAATACAGATTTCCAGTTTTACATTTTGAGTCTTACTAGGTTCTTACTTTAAAACGTCCTGTGTATTTCGTTATGCTTCAATACAAACATCTGTTTTATATCTACTTTTGCTTACTACGTGTTTTTGTCGGCATAAAGTTATTAATATTGGTACCGACAATTCCACACTTCCTTACCATATACATACTAGGTGATCTTCGATTAATGTGACAAAATTCATTGACATGTTTATACGCAAAAATAATGCGTTCTAGGCAAATTTGCCTTATCCGAAAGTTAATAGTAATAGCCGAAGTACAGGGTGTGAACGTGTAAATAAAATTTCCTTTTTTGAATAGATTCTTATCCAGTTAAACTACCAAAAAATGTTGTGTTGGGGGGTTTTCAAATATGGCTATGCTGTTGAAAATGTGGTTCTTCGATATTTCTTACACGAAAAATGTGTACTTTGGATCAAGCAAATTTATACACAATTTGAGTTTAGTTCAAGAAATCCCTTGAGGTTTCCATGTGAAGTAACTTAAACGGTGCGAGATATCGACTTGGAAGAAGTACACATTTTTTGTTTAGCAAATAACGGCGAACGAAATTTTGCCAAAAAAAGGCGATACTTTTGAACCCAAAAAAATTCTGCTGCTTTAAAGAGCTCCAGACGATTGCAGCTTGTGCCCCCTAGGACTAATTAACTTTCGGACAAGGAAAATTTGCCTGAAAGCAATATTTTTGCTTAATCAATATGTTTTGTTGAAATGCATCGAATAGTCTATAACTTAAATAAAAGTTGATTTATTATGTTTTTAAAGCTTTCCCGTTATAGCTAATTTCAACACAAAATAAGCGAAACATTTTTCAAATGTTAAACGAATCAACATTACGCACTTTTCACGAATATAAGAACTTGAATGCTGTCACCAAAAGATTGCAGTTTTTGGTACTGGGCTATGAAATCCGGGGCTCTTAACGTCTCAGAGCCCTAACTCTTCTTACGTACTCCAAAAGCATCGATACTTTGAAACATTCTGCCAAATTCCACCCAAAGCAGCAAGACAATGTCTGTTAAATTATTAGTAATTAGTGAATTTGAACTTCCTGTTGGATCTCATTAACACTAGAATTATAACTATTTAACTTGGGGGAAATTACAACTCTTATATCATGATGTTACAAAATAACTTTCGTTCTTCCGAGAGTTTTGAAGAAATCAAGAATAATCTGATTAATTTTAAGTAGATTATCTAATGACTCGATGTGTTGTGACTCATTTGACTTAATGAGCATTTGTTTTCCCAGGGTCTCCTCGACAAATTCCTCATCCCCAAGGCATCAAATGCCGAATCAAAAGTATTTTACCTTAAAATGAAGGGAGACTACTATAGATACTTAGCAGAAGTAGCAACTGGTGACACCAGAAACAGTAAGTTAATGTTCAGTAGATCTGGTGTAGCGTTTGTGCCGAGTCCCGCTAAGGACGAAGTAGTGTTACCATTTTTGCCTTTTCAGCTGTCGTGGATTATTCACAGAAGGCGTACCAGGACGCATTTGAAATCTCAAAGGCCAAAATGACACCTACACACCCCATCAGACTGGGTCTTGCACTGAACTTCTCAGTGTTCTACTACGAGATATTAAATTCACCAGATAAAGCCTGTCAATTAGCTAAGCAGGTTAATATCAGAGTTTAAAAAATTTTCTTTCTGCGGGCAGAATTACGCGGCGACATCGGCACGGCGCTTTTTGCGCCTTTACCTACCTCAAAGGTTAATTTATGTATTTGTTTTTCTCAGAGGTGGTTGAAGATTCGCAAAAAGCCTACCAAGAGGCTTTTGATATAGCCAAGTCCAAAATGCAGTCTACTCACCCAATCCGACTGGGACTGGCTCTTAATTTCTCCGTGTTTTACTATGAAATTATCAATTCTCCAGCGCGTGCCTGCCACCTGGCCAAACAGGTTTGTCGTGTGTGTCGTGTTTAACGCTAGTTCTGCCCGCACTAACCAATTGCTGTTTTTATTTCTCGTGGTTGTCTTCTAATGTTGATTATCATAGGCTTTTGATGATGCCATTGCTGAGCTGGACACACTAAATGAGGACTCATACAAAGACAGTACACTTATTATGCAGCTCCTAAGAGATAACTTAACGTTATGGACCAGTGATACACAGGTAAGATAGATGATCATCTGTAAAACTTTATGACAGTAATATGTTTATTTTGTTACAGGGTGAACAAGATGAGCCTCAAGAAGGTGGAGACAACTGAGACGGCAAAATCTCCGTTTTCATTCTATCCGTTAAAACTGAATTTTCATGTAAGTTAAAGTCTCCACGGAACTTTATCGTAAAGTTTCGTTGACAGTTTTTAAGTTTCATTGTGATGAAACTTTTGATATTTAACAATGTTTTAGGAGATATTGTAAGTCGTTAAATTATATTTCACATTATCACACAACAGGCATAACTTCCACAAAACATTCAAAAAGCCATACATTACCTTCTTTGCTAATAGTTGTGTGATTCAATGTCAGTTTCTTCATCTTTTATTATACTTGTTTTTATATTTAATTATTTTATATATTATATATCCCTCCCGAAACAAAATGTGTCATTTGATTTTGTCTTCTCCAGCACATTTTTAAGTTCTAACTTGTTAACTATTAAAATTATTATTTAAACAGTCGTTTTAGTTTCGTTTCTGTTTTCTAGTTGTCCATATGAATGCGAATCATAGCCTTCTTACCTGCTCTGTTTAATCGCATTTCTGCCCTATCCACAATGTTTTGCACTGCGCGGCCCCCTGGGCACTCCCTCCAAATTCCCATTCCATTTCTGGTCACTTTGGATGTGCTATATATAAAATGTATGAATATGTATTTAAACGCTACCAACTCTATTTGTTTTCTGTTGTATCTGTCAATTATATTTGTCAGATAATAATAAATTTTTCAAAATCATTGGCTTGTTTTGTTTTATGGGGGTTACCTTTAAAGGTCTGCGCCCTGTTCCTGCCTTTTCTATATGTAACTGCACTAATTGTTGTTCTGCTCTAAATGTTACCCTTAGTCCAGTGAATATTTTGGCTACATTACGCTTTTAGTTGACATGTACGTTGTGTGAAAATTTCAGACATTGATGTGTCCAAAGTATAGAAATATATGTAACATGTAAATTTGATCATTTTATTAATTTCTGTATGAAATCCATGTTCATTTTCCAAGTATTTTCAAAATTACTGATACTTTGTTTTTAGGCAACTTAGAAGTATGCATTTAGTTTAAATAGTGTACAATAATTTGTTATTTTTATAACAACCGTATTAAAAACATTATTTATTATATTTTTGTTTTCTATTTCACAGTTAGTTGGTTTTGTCTATTACACTTCTGTTCAGAAAATAAGTGTCAGTTATAGTATTAATATTTGATTATACTGGTTACATATTTATCGGATTGATTTATAGGGAATAAATCTTTGCGAAAAAAAAAGGAATTTAGATACATACATTTTTTCTTATTGGGGGTTGAGAGTGCATATTAAATATTTGCTTATTAGAGTGAAGTGCAAGCTGTGTCGACCTGGATAATTTTAATGAGTCACGGTTTCGGTGTAGTTTTACAAGCGAGCAGTTGAGATTTGGATTTTTCGGAATTTCTCGTGTTGAGACTGGGTAATTCGATAATTGATCTGGGCTGCGTGCGATTGGTCCCGTGGAATTTTCTATCACTTTCGAATCACGTTTTTTGATCTGTGTTCATTTAAAAGCTCTTTGTGCTGCATATATAGTTTGTATTTTGTTAAATATATTGCGAGCATTTAATTATTTTTTCCTTATACCGATACTTGCATTAATTTTCAAATTAAATATATTATTTTTATATTAAAACTGCTTATTGTGCCATACATGAACAATAATATGTTTATGTATCTTCAATTTAAGCTATTCTCAATTGAAATTGAATAAGTATCTCAAAAGTGCTAACACATTTTGTTTTTATTTTCGTAAAAAACTTAAGTAAAGCTGCCCATACTATACGGTTCATTATATATTATTTTATAATCTTTATTTGTGTTTTGTGGGACTTAACCATTCCGATAACAGTTTTCGGTAGTTAAAAGTGATTAATATTAATAGTTATCGACATTTTACGAGTCTTAAAAAGCACATACTAGATTACAAGTCATGTTATTAATATATGTAGTTCACTTTATGATTAGTGGCCAGCAAACAATACTTACTATTGAAGAAGCATGTTCTATACAGGGTGAAAGCATTATCAACATACATTAGAACGAGACTTTAGCGCTTACAATAATAAGGATTTTTATAATAATGCCCCAAAAATAGCTTTTTAAAGGGGTTGGAACTCCTTAAAGAGATCTCTACAAATGGACTTGTAATAATTTCTAAACGGTTTTCGTTAAAAATGTCGATAAATTTGCTGATTTCAGTCAGAGTCGTCTTACATTAAAGAATTACAGACTTACAGACAAAGTATTGAATTACAAATAATAATTTACAGTAAGAGGTTAAGAGATAACCTGGAAAAACCATCTTCAAAGTTTTATCATCATCAATATTTTCCAACCATTTTAATAATAAATTTTTGCGGAACGTTTAAAATTTACCGCAAGAAATTTTAAATTATTTTAAACACCTAGACCTCTTCTTTCATACTATAATGTGCAGAGAAATAACTTCTGAAGAGAAGCAATTCGTACCCTACATGTACTTTTTATTTATTTATTCGCGTTCTGTCAATAATTTACACATTTCTATTTAAATTTTACGTCTTACTTCTGGAACTGCAGCCTGAACACAGTTCCATTTCGTGTAAAAAAACATTTAATAAACTCGTAATATAAATGTAATGTAAATGAGTGTCCACATATGACGTAGGAATAAAACTAGCATTCCTCTATATTCACTTCTCTCTCAGGTACTTGTACTTGACAGAGTTTCCTTGTCTAGGTGTAAAATTTGACACCTAAATTTATTGACAGTTTTAATGTTTACCTCATTTCTGTGGTCAATGGTCAACAGTTAAACAAACCCGATTGACTAGAATTTGATATCATTTATTAACCTTGTCCTGAACTATTGAATTAAAATCGTATTGTTGAACGATTATCTGCATTTTTACCAGTTCGTTGGTGTAGAGGTTACAGTAGTCATGATTCGCGTAAGTAAGCTTTATTACATTTAATATAAATGTGTGAGTATTGAGGTTTAAAAAATTGCCGAAAGCAATTACTGAGATTAAGCAGATATTGGCAATTTTAATTATTTGTCAAGCCACCACGTATATGGTAAAAAGCGCGTATCATTCTACCTTGAACTCAGCATATCTAGGGTTGCTAGATGACGAAAACTGAAGCTAAATATTCTGGGGCTAATTTCAAATCAAACAGCTACATTTTAGCTTTTATACTTAATTCACCCATCAGTGATGATTAAAAAGTGTAAATTACGTTTGTATTAAAAATCTAAATTAATCCCTAGATTCGTATAGTTGCATGTTATTACTGGAGTCGTCAGGCTTGACAATAAAAAATTATAGGTAATATGAGTTCGCTCTATACAGGGTGTTTCAGAAATAGGTAACATTCAGGGATAAATTATAAACAAAAATAAAAACAAAACGTAAATTCAGGGATAAATATAGCTTGCCCAAGTATATAAGCCCAAATATATAAATCCAAATATACATGGAACCTCTGAAACTTCGTTTTCCAAATACAGAGCGTCAAACTTTACTTTGAAAAATACAAAATTATACATTTCTGCAATACGATTTTATAAATTTTAATGAAACTTTGTGGATGGGGACGATTTTAAAAGGTGCTTAATTTCAATTATTCATTTTTTTAAATTTTGACCAGTGGCGTGTCTACCGCTATATTTCTATAATATAATGCCTATATGGCAACTAACTAGCTCAGGATCGTAGTTAGGACTTATAGGTAGTAAGGAAATATATTTTTTTCTTAATTTTATAGATTATCTAATTTATCTGATCCAGTAGTTTATATCTATTACTGAACGTATAAACAGCAGTATAACTGCAACGTTCTTTTTATAATCAGGCATTATATTATAGATAATACCTATACCGGGAGGCATGAAAGAACATTAAATAGTATCGCTTCCTTCCGTTTACCATTAGTCCCGATATTAACTTACGGAACAATTTCGTCTAGCGTTGACCATCCCCGATATTCTAATTTGTATTCTTGCCAAAACTTTATTCACGTTCAGCTAAACATTGCAGGTAGAAGTTTATTCAACTAAAAACAAGAAAATCGGCGAGATATCAGTGGATGAAAAGGTGAAAGTTAAAGATATCAAGGAGAAAATTGCAGCTATTTCACCAAAACTGGTTGTGGGGAGGCAATCAGTGCGAAGTGCACTAAAAGGAAAAGATATTAAAGATGATGAAGCAATTCCTTTGTTGGCAAGCACCAGAAAAGTGTTTGTAAAAGATTTAGGCCCTCAGATTGGTTGGAGCACAGTATTTATTTGTGAATATGCTGGTCCTTTAATTTTATATGCATTGGTCGCTCTTAGACCCCGCATACTTTATTCTAGTGCCTTAAACGAGACGTCGCTTTCTGTAACAGCGAGGTAACAAAATATGAAATGTTGTAACATGGTTTCTATCTACGCTTTATTTTGATAGCGTTGCACTAGTATGCTGGAGTGTACATTATTTGAAGAGAATATTGGAGACAATATTTGTTCATCGTTTTTCACATGGCACGATGCCTTTGCTCAACCTTTTCAAAAATTGTACTTACTATTGGGGCTTCACTTTGTATGTTGCCTATCACACTAATCATCCTTTGTTTACACCACCATGCCGGATTTTACAAGCGCTTGGTCTAATTATATTTATTGTAAGTATATGGGTTTGGTCAGATATATATTGCGGGTGTTATTTCAATCTTTGCAGGTTTCTGAATTGGGCAATTTGAGTATTCACATCCTTCTTAGAAATTTGAGACCACCAGGCACTAAAGTACGAAAGATTCCTGTCCCCAATAGCAACCCACTGACAAAACTGTATAATTATGTGTCGTGCCCCAATTATACTTATGAATTTTATTCTTGGCTGGGATTTACATTGCTAACTTCTTGTGTTCCAGGTAAATATTCTAATCAATTTTAACCTCGTCAGTAATATTGATAACGCTTCGTATTTTAGCTGGTTTATTTGCATTGACCGGCTTGTATCAAATGACAATTTGGGCTTTGGCAAAGCACAAGAACTACAAGACTGAGTTTCCGAATTACCCGAAACAACGGAAAGCAATTATTCCTTTTGTACTCTAGATTCACTTTAATTTAAATTTAATGATTTAATGGGTTGTTAATTTAACGGGGATTTGTTGTTGTTTTCTCAGTTTTATATTGTGGTGATTTGTTGGTGACAAATATGTACTAAAATTTCTCGTTAATTTGTCTGTGTACAAATGTGCAATAGAAGTGCAATAAACGTAACACTTGAATAACAATCTTTCGTTTTTCTCAATGTATAAATTTCTTCGAAAATAAAATGACAACAGTAGATTAAAGCATCATTTATATATTCTATGAACCTTTTAATATTCACAAATTCAGATTCTTAAAACAATATCACAAAAATTCTATTTCTTGGGATTACAGGATAATTTGCACAAGCATGTAATAATAAATTTGTCAGTCTGGAACATACATTATTATTGCAATGTCTATTATTTCACGGATACCGCTTGACACATCCGAGAGAGGAGTATTACACGTTATTTATAAAGAAAAGTTAAGCTCCATATGGAGCATGAAATAAGGGATGAACACTAGCGCGATTTGAATTACATTCGCTGATATAATTTGAAAGGAAAATGCACTTACAATTCATACCGACATTCAAAAACACGGCCTCATTCGATCTACATAGAATAATATCAATAATTGAGCCAGTAATTAATATAAACTGTTAGTATGTGAATTCGCAAATTATTTCGTTAGTTTCATTCAATGTATTCAATAAAATTTGTTATCAATTTCCATAGTTAATGAATTCTAGGATTTTTGGATTAAAAACTTATGAAATCTATTCGAGTATGATATGTTGAAAATCTTTAAAATATTTTACGATATCGCTTTTTAGACCGATCTAGTACAAATCTTGAAAACTAATGGACTCGTCATACCTATATATTTACTAATTTCCTACTTTGCCACATTTATTAAGAGTTACTGAAGCCTAAACTTTCCAGAAAAATACCAAGTCTTGTTCTTTAATAAGAAACAGTGACTTTCTTGGGCTATTTGCTATTATTTATCAGGTTTCTCCAAATCAGTCGTCATTATTAATTTAGAATTTTTTGAATATTACTGATGATTGCAAAAAAGTATTTTTTCAGTAATTAAATCTCGAATCGATTCTCCCGCCGAGTTACTAGCAATTGCTTCGTACCAGCTTGATATACATGTTGAAAGTCAATTTTTACTTTTGTTAGATTCTAGAAATATTTATCATTAACTGAGGTGTACACATTGCACATTGCAATTTATCAAATTGATTCTTATGCTAACAGTGCAATACCTACTTTCCCTTAATTATTTTACTCGTTTGACTACAATAAGTTTCCTACGTATATTCGTTTTTCAATTAAATATTAATAGACATACATTTGTATATAAAATTAACACGCGTTTTAAATAAAAAAGTTCCTATCAATGTAATCAATTTCAAATCAATTATCATCTCAAACAAAATTAATAGTTCTTAATAAAAAAAAGGTTAAAAGGTTAGTATAAAAATGGTTACACTAGAAAAAAAATTTGAGTCATAGAAATTTATGAAAAGTTGCTAAAATCAGTTTTCAATTTTATAGTTGGCATATGGATAGACATTGGCTGATTAATATTTATTTCATGCTTAGCTTTGATGTTGTTTTGCTGATTCGCCCTAATTGCACTTTCCAGTTTTGTTCTCAGATTCGTTGAAGTGCCCATCAGTGTTTTGAACTCCTATAAGAAGTAGATTTGGTGAGTAATTAAATAAATTAATTTGTCTGGATTTTTGCTCATACCTGTGGATACGTAGGACCTATTTTCATCAGCTTTTCTAAGCTTACTTCATGCAGGGATACTGAATACTTGTTCAATGATTTATCACGTGGATTCGATAACAAATAACTAACAAGAATTGGCACAAGAAGAGAAAGCATCTGAATACCTAAAATAATTTAATACCAAATTAAAAACCTTATATCAATAGGATTCAAGCAGGCAGGGATTAATTAGAATACTAAGCATGTTCGTCCTAAGTACATTACTTGCCTTGCATGATATTTCCTAGGCATCATGGAAAAGAGAATAGCTCAATTAATGTGAAGAAAAATACTCTCTAAGCACTTTGATGTATAAATGATCGATTGAGTTTGTATAGTATATATAGATAATAGTATTTTACTTACGATTATGGGGTTCAGCTAGCGCTATTAGACTTTCAACCGCATTTATGGTCTCGAATGTCATGCAAAACTCTTCATTTGATGTTATTTGCTTTGCCTGATCCGAATATAAAAACTCTACCAACTGCGGGGCTAATGAATGTATGTAAGGTGTTGCAACACTTTTATCTGGATGAGCAAATAGTGACTTCAAAGTTTTGATGCATTTCAATTTGGTCTAAAATAAACATGTTTCAGTCAAGTTCAGTAGACCAAGTACAGGGTGACCAACGATAGAGTGAAGCAAGTTTACCCTTAACCGGTATGATATGTTTCAAAATGCATATTTTAAAAATATTCAAAATTATACAGAGTGGGCCAGAAAATCACTTTTTTCTAATGAAAAACCTGATGTTTTATTTTATTATTAAATTCTTATGTAAATTGTTTATTATTTATTATTATTTATATTAAATTTATGTTATTCGGGATTAACGATGAAATTTCTCATTTTCATGGTGTTGATAAATCGAAAATTTATCCGTTTTCTTTAGACAAAAAAAAATGATATTTGGCAGGAGAAAGGACTAGCAACAAGCGAAAATGAGAGGCTTTGTTATCCTGAATTATTAACACCAACCTAAAACTAATATTATGACCCCCCCTGTAGTTACAAAAACAAATATTTTGCAAACCAAATCGTAATGTAGTCATCATTTCGCTAGCCAAATTTAAAAATTTTGTGTAGATTATAGATACATTTTCGTTTTACCAACAACATGAAAATGCGAATTTTTATAGGTAAAGCTGAATAACTAAAAAAGTGTCTAATTTTCGATCATATTTTGTATAACCAAAAACAATTAAAATGTATATAAGAATTCTAAAGTAAAGTAGAATATGCAACTGCGCAGCGCTGCAACTTGTCTGACGCACTCTGTATAATTCTCATATTTTAAAAAAATGCTATAAATGTAACAAATAATACCGATTGAACGTAAACTTACTTTACTCTATCGTTGGGACACCCTGTACACCTACACAAGCGAGTAAATTCTAAAATTCTGACTATTTCCTGACATAAGCTAATAAAATATAAAGTATTCAAAGAAGCAAAATAATTGCATAACAAATAAATACAAGCTGATTCAATATGCAAATAGAACGAATGAAAAATTATTCGAAACATGTTATGGGCAACATTTTGGAAAATTGGTAAAACTTGACAAGACTCCCAACTTGACCAGGTCTTTAGTATCGTAAAAGTAAAGTTTCCAATTACATAGTAGTACTTGAACTTGGTCACTTACGGAATAATCGTTACTTTGTAAACATTGCCTGAAATGATTGATGCATGGATATTGCAGATTTGGGGCAGCTGCAACTTCCGAAGGAGCGTGTAGTACAAAAACAGCTATAGCCAATAGAGGGGCAGCTTCGTCCGGTCCAGGTGTTTTGGCAAGGTCAATAACTTTAGATAGCGCACTTTGAAGTAGATGCTTCCATTCGGTATCTTTGGCCCGATCATCTGAGGCTAATGCTCGTAACAATTGTAGAGCGCCTGGGGCAGCCGATGGAGCTTGTTTCAATACGCCAGTACTGAGATACAGCAGAGTTGGTAATATTGATATTGACCCGTGCATTGAACATAAGCCGGGCAAAGCTTCCAATGCTCCAAATGCAGCGCCCAGAAGACGAGTATCTGCTATACGAGGAGCACCAGTCATTGCGGGATGGGGCGTAGGACTCAAAGCTGGAAGCTGCCTTACAATCAAGCATAGACAAATTTCTAGAGCTGCAAACACTAATGATTTATCAGGATCCAAATGTCCATCTCGACCACCCTCCCCCATGGCATCGCGTTCCTGGAAATCTCTGGTTTCGCCATTTTCTGAAACGGAAAGCAGTATTATTCAAAGGGAGTCGCCCTTACTGAACTGAAATTATCACCTGGTTGCCTATTTCGAATATCATTTAGTTGATCCGTTGCAACTCTCAGTACTTGCTGTAATACTTCCATGCATAATAGTTGACAATCGGGAGAGTCCAATGTGAGAACAAGTCGATGTAAAACATTGCATAGCTCTACGATAAGTTCGGAATCCTCGAGTAGTAGCTCTCTGGCCTTTGAGACATCCAAAATGCCTCTTAAAGCTCTTAAACATGTGTCGACGATTTCGGGAGATTCAGTTCCTCTGGGCCCACAAAGCGCTTCAATGCAAGTACCGAAAAGCAATCTGAAGTGATCGTTAGGCGGTGGATTATTATTTGATTCTACTTCTGTAGAAACGGTAATATTCTCGGGCTGCGATAACCATAAAGCTGCTGCTAGTAAAAGTGGGGGCCACGATGCAGCGTAGTGCGGCCTTGCAGCTTCGGCGGTCTCGGCAGTATAGAAGGCGCCCCCATCATGTGGCAACTGTCCACCGAATTCAGGTGGCAGGGCTAACAACGCCCGGTCCCGTAAGGCATTTAACCAGTGACGGGCCAGAGTGGCAAGTTGCGGTTGAACAAGTTCAAGAAGACCCGAATCAGGAGGGCCTCGAGCACCAGCAGCTACCCCATAGACTTCAGCCCATGCTCGCAAAATGGCAAGTCGCTCTAATGTTAACATCGCTTCATTGTAAAGCAATGTTTGTACAGCTGAAGGTTTTCCTAATTTTGTTAGCGACGACACCATTAATTGATGGACTCGTCGCAAATCTGCGGCGTCTCGCGCAACTCTAGCGCCGATCCAAGCGGAACATGCTTCACATGCAGCAGCTGTAACATGTGGAGCTGTATCGGCTGCAAATGCAGGCCTCAACGCTGCACTGACTTGCGCTTGGAATTGCTCTAAGAGCAAATGTCCAGGAAATTCGGGTTCGGGTTCAATAGCAAATTTGTCAATTATTTCACGTAGCATTTTCAATCCTTCTAATCTTAGCGGATCTGAGTCACTTGTAGCTGCGACAAAGGCCATGCGAATCAAATCTGGCAACTGGAAACTTAATCGTTTAGATGAACATGCTGCTAGTACACGTCGGACACATTCTGCTGCAAACACACGAGTAGGCCATCGTGGCTGAACAGCACGTTGATTTTCCTCTTCAGCATGGAACTGTTCTTGGTCGTCATCTTCGGGCACATCCAAACCATTACGATCCTCTCCTGGTTCTGAAGCTACAGTAAGAACATCCTTGCATAATCCGAGCCACTGTGACAGCTGACCAGTTGCTAGAACTTGCAGCATGCTTATTATCGTGTCATGGATATCTTTGATTAGACCAGGATCAGTTTCAGTGTCTAGTAAACCAAAGAATACACCGGGTAGACCAGTTTCAGTAATTATTAAACCCTCCACAGTGGGTCCTTCACTAGCTAAAGCTGATGCTAGATCACACACTTCTTTGGCTTCCCGCTGGGCTAGCTGCCTAAGACATGATATTGCAGCCTTTCTCAATAACAGATGATCGCTGGATAAGGCTCTCTGTAACATCAGGTTAACGTTAAAAGGATATATGTAAATATATTTTTTATTCGAATGAATCAAAAAATGCCACTTTCCGATCAGATGAGATGATCATAAAGAGGCACTTTTTTTTAGTATTTATTTGTTTTACGCACACTGTGCGCAAATTAATCATTATAATGGCAATTTTTCTGTTTTTTTTTAAATAAAAAAACAAAAAAAAAACGCAACAAAAACTTCAATTTTTTTACAAACTTCTTGTTGGGTATTTCGCCTCAAAAATTTTTGTCTTTAAAAAAGACAGAATTTCCTCACGTTTTTTATTACAGATTGATA